TTCCATGTTGTCACCAACGCCTCAGGGTTTCTTTCTGCTTCACCATCCTTAGTGTATGATTTCTGTCCTCAGGACTGCCTCAGAGTAAGAGGAGGGTAGCTGAATTTCCACCCATCGTGTTTTTCAGGTAGGAAGAAAAGATACAGTACAGAGCCACAGGACTGTGCCTGTCAACTCTCCAAGCTAAGCATTGGTGCAGGTGCCTAGAATCCCAGTTACTTGGGAGACTGAGGTAGGAGGATTGGGTGTTTGAGGCCAGCCTGGGCAATTTAGTGAGACCCCAGCTCAAGATTAAAACAAACAGACAAACAAACAAACAAAAAAACAGTGGTCTCCCAGAAGCCCCAAACAATGACAAATGACACCTAATAACATCTCATTGGTCATTCCAACTGCAAGAAATGTAGGTTTTGGGCAGGGCATATCACCACCCTCAACAAAACAGAGTCCTGTTATTTTAAGAAAACAAGACAATCAGAGGTTATACTAGATGCAGTACGGGTAAACTAGCTGTGTCAGTCACACTGGTGAAATCCACACATTTCACAACCACATTTCCCTGACCTAGCCACTGCCTCTTCCTGTCACAGGAAGGAAGAGGTAATCCTGGCATTACCAGCAGGCCAAGGCCCAGAATTCAGCCACCCTGCCCAGCAGCACAGCCATGCTCCCCCCTCTCGACAATGTCAGATGAAGGCTGGAGGGCAGGACTCAAGCCTAACTAGTTGTCCTGCACCTGGAGCAGGTTATAGCCCACAGTAAGTACCTGGCTCCACACCCATCATCCAGAGGAATAGCTTGCAGGGACGCAGGCAGGTGGGTAAGTTGGCTGGGCCAGGACCCTGCCCTCCAGGAGGAGCTGGTTCTGACCTCTATGTCTAGTCTTCCGAGGCTGGTTGGCCAGCACCAGCTCCGAGCACTGGAGTTCTGCACTGCAGGTCTGGTGACTCTCGCCATAAGACAGGAGGAGGCACCTGTGGAGGATGGCCCTGTGCCGAGTCCAGGCTGGAGATGGATAGGGGGTGGGGTGGATGCCCAGGGTCTGGTGCTGGACAGTGTCACAGAAGGACGGATTACTTTCCTTCTGCTGGGAACAGTGCTGGGGGTATCAGCCCCTTTACAATCCAATCCATTCCTTTACCCACCTCATTCTGCCACCCCCGAACTTGCTATCAGCATAACGTCAGCTCTGTGCTAGATACTATGGCACACACCATCTGAATTATCCCGTGATCAGAATTTCTACTTTATAGATGAGAAAACTAAGGTTGAATGAGTTATCCAAGTTCCTAGAACTGTTCAGGGGTGGAACTAGGAGTTTAAACCAGCCCTTTCTGATGCCACAGACCAGCACTAGCCACTTAGCCACACTGCCTTCCTTGCCAAGTGGAGTCTCAGGGAGTGGAATGAAGTTGACAGTGTTCCCTATGCTTCAAGAGCTGGTGGAGGGGCCTATCAGAGGCCACAGCAAACCAGGACTCCACCTTCCAGAACTTACACTCAGACACCCCACAGCCTAGGGCCTGGGCTTTAGGGCTACCCCAAACCAAGGTAAGTGGGCCAGGATAGTCTAGAGATGAGAGGGTAGTACGTACCATGCACATGGCCTTGTGTTGGGGGCGGGGTCTCACTCCTCACCAAATCCCTCCCCAGGAAACTCCTTTATGCTGGTTCTATAGGATACAGGGGGTGGGAGGGTAGGGGGTAGAGAAATGATTCTGGAAATTCAGAACCTTCCTGGAAATTACAAAGTCGTTCCACCACTGCCCATTCAGCTGTTCACACACAAGACAGCACTATGTGGCAAAAACTAAAAATACACTAAAGGGCATCAATAAGGGACTGTGTGGAATATCATATAGCAGTTAAAAGGTGTGAGTCAGAAACATCAGTAAAATACATGGATCTGAAATTTCTGAATGCAGATTAAGATATCTATGTAAAAGGTAGAGCTGGATAAGAGAAATAACTTCTAATGGTCTATAGCACAGTAGGGATCTGTGGTTGATGACAATTAACTTTATGTTTTCAAATAGCTGAGAGAGGATTTTCAATGTTCCCAACACAAAGAAATGATGTTTTAGGTGATGGATACACCAATTGCCCTGATGTATCATTACACATTGTACTGTGTATTGAAATACCACACTGTAACCCATAAATATATACAGTTAAGTGTTGATTTAAAAAAAAATTAAAGCCATGTCTATGAAACTGGATGGATTTTGTTTATAGCTGTCAAATACATGTATGTAACTTCCTCATTAGACAATATATCAAGAATTTTATGTGGTCTTGGATCAATAAATATGTACTTATACTACATTTGCCATTATTTTAACCTAAAAAGTCTAGGATTGTCTGTTTTCTAAGTCTCCACTTCCACCAGTAAATGGTATTTGTGTGTGTGTGTGTGTGTGTGTGTGTGTGTGTTAATAGTGAATGAATTCCAGGGTCTTGAACATGGTAGGCAATCACTCTACCACTGAGCTATACCACTAGCCCCCCACCTTTTTTTAAACTTTGAGACAGGATCTCATTATGTTGCTCAGGCTGGCCTTGAACTTGCAATCCTCCTGCATCAGCCTCCCAAATCACTGGCAATTTTTAAATCTTGATTTAAATCATTTTTACATCATTGTATTAGTCTGTTTTCCATTATTATGTTTGGCTCACAGTGTTAATGGTCCAAGAGCATGGCACCAGCTTCTTCTTGGCTCTGGTAAGGGTTTCATGGCCATGATATCACAATGGCTGGAGCATGTGTGGAAGAGATCACATGGAAGAGATCACAAGCGAGAGGCTTGAGGAGCAGCCAATCTTGCTCTATTTATAACAACTCATCCTGGTAGGAACTAACCAGGGCTCTATGAGAGCTGCATTAATCCCTTCTAAAGAAATGCCCCCCAGTAACCTAACCACCTCCCATTAGACCCCATCTCTTAAAGGTTCCATGACCTTTTAACATTGCCACATGGAGGACCAAACTTCCCACTAAGGAACCCTTGGGGGGGCACTCAAGCCACATCCACTCAAGCCACAGTCATAAAATGCTGCCTAACTGGCTGCTTCTCCCCTACCCTGCTCCCTGCAACAAGCAAACAAAATAAATCCAACCCTGTTTGAAATTGAGTCCATCTTTTTTTCAAGTTATGGACATAAAGTTCTCCTTTTCATTCATATCAGCTAGGATAAAAAACAAATGACATGCCTGGTCCATTTTTTTCCCCTTTTTGCACTGGAGATTGAACCCAGAGCTTTGAGCATGCTAAGTGCATTCTCTAGCACTTAGTTACATCCCAACCACCAGTGTTATTTAGCATCAACTATTACTTCATTAAAACAGAGCAGAAATTTAGGCATATTTTCCCCCAATATACTTTAAGTTCTGTAAAGTAGAAAGTGATATAATTTCATCACTGAAGGTTTACCTGTATGTCCTGCCCTTTTACCATTTCTCCCAAGTTGACATTTTTTAAATGGATGAACATTTAAATCAATTATGGCCAGGGATTTGTTTTGTACATAATCAATAGTTTAAATCTGCATTCATAAGCAATACAAATTTGATTCATTGTTTTTAAAGAAAGAGTCAGCTAAATATGTCCTGATATGGAATGATCAAAGAAATGCTGTCTAATGAAACAAACAAACAAAACCCCTCAAAAAAAAACAGACAGGCAAGTTTCAAGTTGATATATACAATGTACAATGTGCAGAATGTAATCTCATGAGTACGTAATCCATTATTCTGTTACCATACCTGAATACCATGGACTGAGTAAATTTTTTTTTGTACTGGGGCTTGAGCCCAGGGGCCCTCTACCACAGCTACGTTCCCAGTATCTTTTTTATTTTATTTTGAGATAGTCTTAAATGTGCTATGTTGCCCAGGCTGACCTTTAACCTGTGATTCTCTTGCCTCAGCTTCCCAAATTGCTGGGATTACACATGTGCACCACCACACCCAGATGACTGGGTAATTTATAAAGGACTTTACTTATTTACAGTTCTGGAGGCTAAAAGTCCAAGAGCAAGGCATAAGCAACATCATAACATGGCCAAGGACATCTCAAGGTGAGATGGAGTGAGCAGCATGTTAGAGAGAGCTCCTTTCATAACAAAACCACTCCCCTAACACCCCATTGATCCAATCCCCCCAAAGTTCCCACTGTGACTCTTGCTGCATTGGGAAGCATTCCAGGGAGATGGACCCACACCATGGTAAGTACTGTGGGCTTTCTAAGAACACACATGTATGTAAATTTACTGACAGGGCTAGAAGGAAATATATAACCTAACAACTGCTATTACCTTCGGGGAGAGTTACAGTGGTGTTTAAAGGGACTCCAATTTTATCTGTCATGTTTCCATTTCTCACAGTGAAACCTACTGGTTACATAATTTGTGTAATTCAAAGTTAATTTTTAAAAACAGTCATAAAAAAATTACAGAACCATTTACAGTACTCCAGGCTGATGCAAGCTAATATATTCTTGAACACTGTCATCGTGTTGACCTTTAATTATTGATTGTTGGTTTTTTAACTATGTCACCCTTCTGCTCAAAGTCTCTGTGGCTCCCCATGACCTTGAGAATAAAATCCAACTCCTTCAGCCTGGCGCCAGTAGTCCTCTAGCAGCATCCTACTCCTGAAGCACCTCGGAGGGGTCCTGCTGCCAAGCCTTTGCTTTTGCAATCCCCTTCCAGAATGTTCTCCACACTCCTCTCTTCCCTACTCAAATCCTACTCACAGTTCAAGGCCCAATTGTGACCTGCCCACCTTTGTGGCCAGAACCCAACTGTCCTGGCCTTCATTTGGCTCTTCCTCCAGGCTCAGCCTTTTCTCTGGAAATCACAAGGGACATGGATACCTCCTAACTGTAATTGCTGCTGAGAACACTTACTTTGCAATCTTATTATCTCAAAATTATTCCTTACAACAGTCTGTAAGTAGATACTATAATTATTGCTTCTGTTTTGTGGAACAGAAGGTCAAGATCAGACAGGTTAAGAACCACGCCCAAAGGCCCCCAGCTAGTTAGGGGTAGAGCTACTAGTTATATAATAATGTGTCCACATGTCTTTCCCATTAGACTGAACCTCATGAGACCAGAGATGGCAATGGGGTGGTTCACCCTGGTGTGCCTGACATTTACCAGTTGCTAAATAAATATGAATTAAATGAATAATGCACATAGTGATTTGAAATATTAGTACCTTCTTTATAGAGTAATAGTAGTAGCAAACATTTAGCCCACTTGCCAGGCCCTTTCTAAGTTCTTTACAGGTATGATTGCACTGCTACCAGCAACCATCCCAGGTGGGAGGTACCTTGTATTATTACTGGAATGATGGGGAGGAAAACTGAGGCTCCACGGAGTAGTGACTTGCCTAAGATCATTCAAAACAATAAAAAAGGTGGGTTTGGTAGTCGATCTTCATTGCTTAACTGTACCCCAACCGTCTCCAGGCTGCTTGGTTCCATTTCTGGTCAGTAAAGACAGACCCTGGGCAGTAAAATGACCTTCTCAGTGTCACCCAGCAAATCAGCAAGTGCAGGTTCTAGGGTCCAAGAAAGGTTCACCTATGTACACCCCTATCCCCATCACTGTGGGCAGATTCTTTGGGCTTGTCCTCGTTTCTTGTCCAGCACACAGGAGACACTGGGTAGAAGTTATTGGGCACAACCTCAATAAGGAGAGGCGGCCAATCCTCAAGGAGTCCATGAGGCACTTGAGGGGCAGCCTTCAGTCCGCAGATCATGGCTTTACTCTCTAATAGGGACTCCTGGGCACTCAGCCCTGTGCAGTGGTTGGGGCGGGGGTGTGGGGTGAGAAGCTTAGCAGCTCCATCCAGATGCGAATTGTCCCTCCCACACTTCCCGGGCTGCGGGGGCCTCCATTAGAGCCCCTGAGGAGTCAGAATCCACACCTCCGCAAATGGGTCCGCTTTCCCAGGGCCCCCCTGCCCAGACCTTCCCTGGGCTCTGTGGGTTTTGACACCTCTCTGTAACCTGGTGGGGGTCCACCTCGCACCTTTGGTTCAGATAAAAGCTGAGGCCCGAAGGTGGCAGGTCCAGCCTCCCAGAGCCCACAGCCCCGGCATGGCCCAGTCGCCTCCTCAGCAGAACTTCCTTGGCTTAGACCATTGGATCTTCTCCCAGGGTTGGGGCTGGGAGGGCCACTCTGACTCCACGTCCCCAGCCTCTTCCTCGGATTCCTCGAGCTCGTGCCCCTGTGACAGCGCCCTCGGCCTCTCTCAGACCGCAAACCCAGCCCACAGCGCCGGAGAAGCTGAGGCCACCCCGACAGTGCCCAGACGTGCACGGACGGGTCCAGCGGGTGGACAGCGGCGGAGCGCCAGCGAGCGCGAGAAGCTGCGCATGCGCACTCTCGCCCGCGCCTTGCACGAGCTGCGCCGCTTCTTGCCGCCGTCCCTCGCGCCGGCCGGCCAGAGCCTAACCAAGATCGAGACGCTGCGTCTGGCCATTCGCTACATCGGCCACCTGTCGGCTATGCTGGGCCTTAACGAGGACAACTTGCAGTGTCGGCGCCGGTGGCGCGCGGACGCAGTGTCTCCCCAGGACTGCGCGCTCTGCCCCGACGGCGGTCCCGTGCAGGTGCAGACCCGGGATCCTGGCCCGGGTTTGGGCACTGCTTTCTGTACCGGGCCGTGCTGGGGGTCCCCGCCCTCCTATCCTGCCACCGGAGCCCTGGCTGAGAGCCCGGGGAGCAGGGTTTCCAACACGGATTCCTGGGTAACACCCCCTTACTGCCCCAAGATACAGTCGCCCCCGCTCCAGCCCCTAGGGAGAGTTCCTGACCCGGTTCTTTGGACGCCACCCCAAGCCTGTCCCGGGAAGCAGACATCCCTAGAGCCTCAAAACCCCGCTGCACCCTGGACGCCACCAGCGGAGCTGGCAGCAGTGTACCAGGTACGCCATGGAGGCCCTTGCCCTTTCCCTGGTTTGATCCCCAGGTTTAATTTGGGAATGGAGTGGGTGGGTAGTTTCTAGTCTGCGGAGGATCTCATCTTTTCAGATCCTAGTTTATCTAACGGCGGGAAGGATGGAAAGAACCCTAACATCTGTAGGGAAAGAGATGAGGCCCTGGGAAGTGAATGACACAACCACTGCCACCCAGCAATCTTCACAGCGGTGGACAAGAGAGGCTCCCTTCGAGCTTGCTCAGAGGTGGGGGTGGAAGTTGGGAGATTGCACTCTCAGGAAAGGCCAAGTGCTTCTTCATTAAGGGTTCAGGAGGGGAAGGGAACCCAAGGTAAAGGGTGGACAGCGGCGGACCCTCGCCGGCGCCTTGCACAAACTGTGCCGCCTCCTGCAGAGCCTGACCAAGATCTAGACGCTGCGTCTGGCCATTCACTACATCCTGAATAGATGGGCTTGCAGTTGGAGACAGTCATATTTTTTTCAAGTTTCATTCATTTATGAGGCCAATGAATGAATCGTGGTTCATAAACGATCATATTAGTAACCAAATTTATTAAATTCTTATTGTCTGCTCCACACTATTCTGGGCACTTTCCATGTATTCATTCATTCTGCCCTTCAAACAATCCTATGAAACATATATTAGCATCCCCATTTTAAAGATGAGAACACAGACAAAAAGAAGTTACCTGAATTCCCACAGTGTAGCAGAGCTGGGATTTAAAGGTCAGCAGTGAGTCTGCAGAACCAGTGCTTTTAACCACTTTGCTCCACTGCATCCATGGCACCAGGACTGTAAAGACATCATCAGCCATTCCCTGGGGAGCATCCAGGTTTTAGATTTCTGGGCAACAAGCTGTTCTTGTCTTTCTTACAGGGTATCTCTGGGTCTTCAGAATCCTGTCTACCTCTGGGAAGTCCACCCCTTCTGCCCCGCCCTTCATGCCAGAGACTCCAGCCTCAGACACAGTGGGGGTGTTGGAGCCACAGTGCAGAGGCGCTGCCCAGCTCAGAGGACCAGGGACCTGGCCCTGTTTTCCAACTCAGTGAAGTGAGCCTCACCCAGAGTTCAGGCCTACGGCTCAGTAGCTGCCCTGAACTTTGGCAAGAAGATTTGGAGGAGACCCACCTGGGCATCTTCTAATGGCCCTACCTGGCCTTTTTACATCCAAGAATCCAGGCTTGCAATGTGGACGTCCTCCTCTTCTGTTTCTTTGGTGGTTTTAAAGCTTTCTAGCCAAATACTTATCATGAAAACTGTCTGGAACAGAGATTGTGGGTATCCTCCCTAGCTGGAGCGGGGTTATGACAGTGCCCTCTACTGCTAGGCACCCCCCTCCCATACACCATGCCTTGTATTCTGCAGAGCACAGTCTGAGCTGCTATGAAAAGGGGGCTGCTTGACCCCAAGGAGACCGTGATGGGACTGGTAAGGGAGTGGGCATGGAGGCCAGGCTCTTGCTTGCTGTGCTTCTTGGTGACAGCTGTCCAGAATCCGATATGCTTAAGATGTTTTGTAACTTTTAAAAAAAGAAAAAAATACCAATAAAATTTTGATACAGTCTGTTTTTCTATCAAGATAGGTTTTTCTTGCCTCTGGGGTGGGGGGGATATTCCCATTCTTGGGGAACAAGGCCTATTGCCCTTCCACTCCTTGAGTGCAGGCCTGCCAAGATAGATGTGGGCCCTTGCTTATTATCTTGATGGTATTTATTGTGTCCTGGTTCCAGGGCTGAGAGTACTGCCTGGCCTGCTGTGCAAGGTGACCATAGGTAAGCTAAGACTAGGGCCTGCTCACTTACCTCAGACACATCACCGCAGCTCATTTGCATTCTTCTGGCTGCAGTCCTGCTGACCCATGGGGTAAGCATATGCAGTTATAAACAAACAGGGCCTCCAGGGGAGGATGCCTGAGATACAGAGACCTGTGATTTAGGGCTCTTTCACAATGATATAAAGTTTTTTCCAAAGGATGCTGTGAGTGGCTCCTATGTGCGTGGCCCAGTGTACTAGTGTCTAGGGCTGCCATAGCAAAATACCACAGAAATGCATTTTTCAGTTCTGGAGTCTAGAAGACCAAGAAGTATAGGCAGGTTTGAATTACTTCATGGCTTGCAGATGGCCTTCTCACTGTGTTATCTGTGTCCTAAATCTCTTTTTTTAAGGATATCAGTCATATTGGAATCAGGCCTACCCTAAGGACACCCCCACACACACCATTTAATCTTTTTTTTTTCCCCCAGTACTGGGGATTGAAACTAGGGACTCATCCAAGTCCTATTTATTTTTTGTTCCGGGACAGTGTCTTGCTAAATTGCTGAGGCTGGCCTGGAATTTGCAATTCTGCCTCAGCCTCCTAAATTGCTGGGATTACTGGTATGTACCAGTGTACCAGGCCCTGTTTAATCTTAATTACCTCTTTAAAGGATTTATCTCAATATTCAGTCACATTCTGGGGTGCTAGGGGCTAAGGCTTGTGTTAACTTTCTGTCACTATAAAGAGAAAAGATTTATTTTGGTTTATGGTTCTGGAGTTTCCAGTCCATTCCTTTGGACCTCTGGTGAGCAGAGCACATTGTGCTAGGAATGTGCAGAGCAAATTGTTTACATCAGGAGCCAAGAAGCAAAAAGAAGAAGGGATGGTATCCCACAATCCCCTTTGGGAACACACCCACAAAGACCTAAGGACCTCCCACAAGGCCCCACCTGCCAAAGGTTTTACCACCTCGCAAGAGTACCACCTGGGATTAAGCCTCTAATATTCAACCTTTGGGAGACATTTAAAATCTGAACAATAACAAGGCTTAAGCATGAATTTTACTGTTTAGCTCATAATAATAAGTGTCAGAAATTACTCCCCAGTTAATGAGATAAATTGCAAGGACATAAGTGATCAGAATTCAGGTCCTAAATGCAAGGGTGAGAGTTTATACAAAAGGCTTTAGGACCAGAGAGAGATGACAGGCTGGTGGAAGGCAATTGGCAGTACCTTTTCTTATTTTTTTAATATTTATTTTTTAGTTGAAGTTGGACACAATACCTTTATTTTGTTTATTTTTATGTGGTGCTGAGGATGGAACCCAGTGCCTCATATGTGCTAGGTGAGCACTCTACCGCTGAGCCACAACCTCAGCCTGGCAGTACCTTTTCATTCTTGAGTTACCTGATCCATTAGTCTCACTATCTTGATTTGGGCTGTCTTACCTAAGAAGAGGCACTGTGAGAATCTTGAAGAAAGGATGTCATGATCCGTGAAGGTTGCCATGGACTTGGGAGCCAACAGAAATGGTATCTTACTTCTATATCTACTCTGACTAAGGCAGGGAGTATTGAAGAAGACGTAACCTTGGGACTGGGTGTTGGAGGATGTGTAGGAGTTTGCCAAGCAAAGGAAGAGAGACTTGGGAAGGAGCAGCATGAGCCAAGTGAAGACAGAGGCTGCTGGTATCTCCAGTTGATGGGGAAAGTAACAAATTAGAGAAGGAACCCAAGGTGTGCAGAGCTCTGTGGGGGTGTTATAGGAATTTGGCCTCTCTCCTGGGTGGCAGGAGGCACTGATGGTTTGGAGTAGGGGTGATCTGGCCGAGGGTACACTTGGCCTGTTGCCTGCTTCACACCAAAGGAGCAGGCAGGGAGGCCACTGTAACAGTTCAGGCTGAGAGAAAGGGAGGGAGGAAGTTGCCTGATTTCCTTAACCTGAGTTCTTGGCCACATTCAGGGCCTTGCATTTGGCTCTCATGACAGCCCATTGCTTGCTGAGATGCCCTGGGACATTGGGCATGTCACTTCCTCTCTGAGCCCATTTTCTCATCTCCTAAAGGAAGAACTGAGGTATCTTATTCCTCAAACTTTGAAGGAATCTGGTTTCTGGCCCAGGTCCCTCTTGTCCTCAGGGACTGTTAGTCATCCTCAAAGGATGAGAGAACCCTAATCAAGGTTAGAGCAGAAAGATGGAGACAGGCCCTGTGGACCTAAGAGGACATTCCATTAGGCTTTTACTGGAAGTGTAACCATCAGCAAGCTTTAAAACCTCCCTGAGACTTGTTTTTTCCAACTGTGCAATGGAGCTAAGAGACCTTACCTACCTCTCAAGAGTTCTTAGGCTTGGCACATAGTAAGTACTCAGTAAAATGAGTAACTAAGCAGAGTCCTGTGACCTAAGAGATGACAAGTGGACCCCAAACCTGGCTGCATATTGAGCCATCTGGGTCCAGGGTCCGTCTCTGAGAGCGTGATTCAATGCATCAGTTTCCCAAGATCCTTTCCAGAGGATTCTAAGGACGAGCCAGGTTGGAAAGCAATAGGTATTCTACACCTCTTAATTTCATTGCAGAGGAAACTGAGGACCAGGGAGAGGAGCAACTTCCCATAATCCCCCAATTAGGTGTGGACCTCAGACCCCTAACTCCTAGCCCAGTGCTCTCTCCTTTCCCCAAAGACTCAGGATCGTGGCTCCACAGTCTCGCACAACTCTGCACCAGAGGCAGAACCAGACAGGGGTTCTCACCAACCTGGGGTTGTCTTGCAGAGGCAGGGGAGGCCCTCCATGGCCATGATTCCCCGCTCCCAGGCTGTGTGCAAGCCCTAGTGGAGTCCAAGAGGACCAGCCCCACCAGCTGTAGCCCCATATAAGCATCTTCTGGAATTTGACAGCCTTGTTCTTCTAAGGCACTCAAAGGCAGAAAAGAGGACCCTAAGCCATCCAAGCAGGAAACATCACCAGCTAAAACTGCCTGGGAGACATCCAAGATGCTGCTGGATTGAGGAGAACTGGGCCCAGGAGGGCTTAGGGTAATTCTCTACCCTCGTGCTCCCTCACTGGAAGGAAAGGCTCAGTCCCACCTCTCAAAGTGGCAACTCTCATTGCTCCTGACCCCCATCCAGTCCCTTGTCTATGGCTGTGTCCTAGGCAGGTCTCCCTGGTCTGCACCTGTCTGCTAAGTGCCAGCAGCGTAGAGAGAGGGGCTGACACCTATGTCCTGCACAGGTTGACTAGTCCATCCACACCTTCCTGGCAACCCCAGTCCCCAGTCATAAGAGATAGGACACTGGCTGAGTACCTCGCTCAGGTCTTTCAACCACCCTGCAGTGTAGCAGACACTCCAGTTTTGCACATGGACAGCTGAGGCTGGGAACAGTGAAATGCTTGGCTCAGGTCCAGGGCTTTGCTGAAATGTCATCTCAGTGTCCAGCACTAGGTCTGAGAAGACACTGGGCTGCCGCCTGCCAATGCCCAGCACCTTTAATTCTTGCTGGCCTAGGGCAGGCAGAGTGCCAGACAAGGAGCCAGCAGTCTGAGTTCTAGTAAGTTTCTACTCTATGACCTTGACCAAGGCTCTGCAAGCAGGTCTTTGGCTTCGGGTGTCCTCGCTATATATAGGAGACTGGTTTCCTGTATACCAGGGGACTGGTTTCCTCCAGCTACACAGAGCCTTTTGACTGCAAGCATTGTTAAGTGGACCAGTGACATAAGCATATCAGTGTGGCTATCACAGAACCTGCTGCAGCTCTGAGTGGAGGATTTGCAAGATCAGAGTCAAGTGCTGGCTTCCAGTGCTACTGCCTTTTGATTTAAGTTCCCTGTGCCTCAGTTTCCTTATCAATAAAATAGGGCTGGATGTGTAGGACAAGGGGTAGAGTGCTTGCCTAGCATGCGAGGTGCTGGGTTCCAACCCAGAACACAAAAAATAAATAATGAAATAAGCTGGCCAGCCTCAGTGACGCGCATGTAATCCCAGCAGCTCAGGATGCTGAGGCAGGAGGATGGAGAGTTTGAAGCCAGCCTCAGCAACTTAGCAAGGCCCTAAGCAACTCAGTGAGACTCTGTCTCTGAAAAAGGGCTGGGGATGTGGCTCAGGGTTAAAGCGCCCCTGGGTTCAACCCCTGGTATCAATCAATAAATAAATAAATAAAAATAAAAAGCTGAGATAAAGACAGTTTTCACTTAGTGACAGATAAACATGTGAGAACAGCTCATTCAGAGCCAGGCACAGAGAGTAATAGGATTACTTGTCTCTCTACAGGCAAACCCTCCCCTGCAATGTCCCTGAGCACAGAGCCCCCTAGGGACCCAAGATGGCGAGGCTGGCCCTCTCCCCAGTTGGTCCTTAGAAGGTCAAGTGCCAGCCATGACTGCTGGGTACTGGCGACAGGAAGGGCTGGCCCAGAGCTGAGGGGCCAAAGGAGTTAATCTGGAGCAGCCCAGGGAGCCTCCTGGACAGTCCCCCGTCACCCAGGCAGGCCTCTGTCCCTTGGCCGGCCCTACCCTTTGATGTGCAAATGGCAGTGGAGAGCCAGGGCCTTCCTGGTCTCAGCGGCCTGCTTCTCACTCCCAGGAAGAGAGGGTGAGAGGACAGCTGCTGGGGCCTCCAGCCAAGGATGTCACACTCCTTGTCATGTGTCAGGCCAAGTGCTCCCTAAATCCACAACAGGCTCCTTTATTGTCTTCATTGTGTGGAGGAGGAAACCGAGGCTCAGGAGTTTAGATCCCTTGCTCCAAAAGAGTGTCTGGGCCACCATCTGAGGCCAGACATTCAAGATTCCAGCTGGGGAGCTTGTGGGTGTCAGTGGAGGT